TAAAATTTTTCCTCATGTACTCTTAAATATGAATCTGTACTTAAGTGTGAAGCCGTGTACCTGAAGCTGAGTGATTTTGATGGCCACAGTGTACAGCTCTTCATATCTTTTGTGATCTTATGTGGGCAGTTCGCCTCTATGACATGAACAATGAACAGTTCACTTAATGATGTGATACTCATATAGACCAATATATTTCTTGATCATAAAGTTTGTTTATTGTTTATATTGCATAATTCAGTCTTTTACAAAACCTTTCCTTTTTTTTTTACTTGCAGTAATGAATAAACTTAGAATAGTTATCATTGAAAGGAACATGTTGATGGTTGTTTTCTTTGTCATTTCCTGGGTAAAGTAAGAAAAGGCAATGTGCACTATTTAACATACATTGGTACTGTAGTGAATATGTAGGTGGCATCTTATTCAAATTGATTGATTTTTATACCATTTAGGTGCAGTCTTCTGTTGAGCATTTTTGTAATTTGAGTGTTTAGAAACACTGTTCTGTTGAATTTTAGTTGATTTCTCTTGAACAACCTCGAAACAGTGAAGGGAAACATGGAAGGAAGCAGTTGTTGGAAGTATTTTTCTTTTGTATTAAATAAAATGCAGTTTTAGTACAGCCTGGGAGACACTGGCTCATATTGTTGTGTGTGTGTGGAAAGATATTTGCAGTTTAAAAAGTGTTTAATGTTACTTTTTTTAGCTTTTTAATTAAATATTTCTCTAGGCTTGAAAAACATGAATGGGACCAGGATTAATCATTTTGCTATTCCTTGGACTGCAATTATTATGACAGAAGCACCTACACGTGTCATTTCCAAATGCTGTTTGGCATTGAGCACCATCACAACCTCTGACTTTCTTTTAAGGGATGAAAAATATTTTTGTGCTGTGCTAGCTGATGCTAATGATAATAATAATATTTATTGATCATCAGTATAACTAAGTTTGTCATATTATTTTAACAGTAGGATTGAACCATGCACCAAAAGTAAGGTATATTAAGTTCAATGTGCAAGCTTTTGCATACATGAAGTGGCTTGCTACCAAAAATTATTCTTATAAAAACAAATGTTGATTTAAATGCAAATATGGATTGGTACAGGAATAACATGGTATTGGTGAAAAAACTGCTGACCTTGGGTAAATTTATAAAATATTATTTGTTAAAATTGGTCCTGTTTTTAAAAGTGGGTAGTGTGTTTGTTGGCCAACTGTACAGTGTATATGTACTGATCTAGAAGTGAAAAATAAATCACCATATCGATGTTCCGAAAATAAAAAATAACCCTTTTTTTGCCACAAATATGCACGTATATTTGCATAGCTTTAATCCCTGTTGGTTTTCACAATATTATTTTCTGTTGACAAAATAATGTCTCATATGTTATAAAAGTTGCTCATATGTAAAAATTTAGTAAAATAGAGTCATTTGATAAAAAAGTACTCATTTGTTTTTATGTAAAGACACAGATGTGTCTGTACATATCCGTCACCTGTGTTTGTTGCCGATAACACGGTAAGTGAATAACCGTTTTACCTTTTGGCTTGAAACTTACAGAACTGACAAATATTTATAATATGCAGATCAAGTTCGAAAATCGGCATGATCGGGCAATTTTTATGGAAGTTATGCTTTTTTTTTCACTTTTTCCGCATATATGCAACACCAATAACACGATAAGTGGAAAATCCTTTTACCTTTTGGCTTGAAACTTACAGAACTGATGAATATTCATAATATGCAGGTCAAGTTTGAAAATCAGCTTTATTGGACCATTTTCACAAAAGTTATAGTTTTTTATGTACAGACACAGATGTGTCTGTACATATAGCCATCACCTGCGTCTGTTGTCGTCGTCGCCGTGCACTTTTACCGATAACACGATAAGTGGAAAACCGTTTTTTCTTTTGGTTTGAAAATTACAGAATTGATAAATATTCATAATACGCAGGTCAAGTTCGAAAATCAGCATGATCGGGTCATTTTTAGGGAAGTTATGCTGTTTTTTCACTGTTTTCAGCATATATGCAGCACCGATAACACGATAAGTGGAAAACCATTTTACTTTTTGGCTTGAAACTTAGAGAACTGATGAATATTCATAATACGTATGTCAAGTTTGAAAATCCGCATGATCGGGCCATTTTTAGGGAAGTTACGCTGTTTTTTCACTTTTTTCAGCATTTATGTAGCACGGATAACACGATAAGTAGAAAACCGTTCTATTTTTTTGTTTGAAACTTACAGAATTGATGAATATTCATAATACGCAGGTCAAGTTCGAAAATCAGCATGATTGGGCCATTTATATGGAAGTTATGCTGTTTTTTCACTTTTTTCAGCATTTGTGCAACACCGATAACACAATATTTGAAAAACCATTTTATCTTTTGGCTTGAAACTTACAGAACTGATAAATATTTATAATACGCAGGTCAAGTTCGAAAATCAGCATGATCGGGTCATTTTTAGGGAAGTTATGCTGTTTTTTCACTGTTTTCAGCATATATGCAGCACCGATAACACAATATTTGAAAAACCATTTTACTTTTTGGCTTGAAACTTAGAGAACTGATGAATATTCATAATACGTATGTCAAGTTTGAAAATCAGCATGATCGGGCCATTTTTAGGGAAGTTACGCTGTTTTTTCACTTTTTTTAGTATTTATGCAACACCGATAACATGATAAGTGAAAAACCATTTTACCTTTTGGCTTGAAACTTACAGAACTGATAAATATTTATAATACGCAGGTCAAGTTCGAAAGTCAGCATGATCAGGCCATTTTTATGGAAGTTATGCTCTTTTTTCATTTTTTTCAGCATATATGCAATACCGATAACACATTTCAAGGAAAATCAATTGGCCAATTGTCTCGAAATTTACAGGGGTGATCAGTCTTACTGAAATGCAGATGAAGTTCAAAAATAAGCTCGATCGGTTCAGTTTTGGTGAAGTTATGCCTTTTTTGTATATAAGTGTTTTTTTCCTCATATTTAATTCTTAGGCATGTTAACAATCTCATCTGTGAACTAATTAAATATGTAAAGGTGTTCTTTTGACATTTTCTGCATCTTAACAATGTTGTTAGTTGAATATATAAAAAAGATGGTAAACCTGTTTTTGTGTATTGTGTAATAAAGTGTCAAAAAATAGAAATAATAATAAACTCATATCTTTACAGTTTGTCAGATTCAATCATTCACTATGTTCAGAATCTCAGAATGGAGCAAACTGGACATTTAAAATTGTTCTATTGGTATTTTTCCTATGTCAGCAATTTTCTTAGTTTTTCATTTAAAGATGGCAGTAAATTGGTTATTTTGTTATATGAAAAAAAGTGTTGAAAGTGGAAAGAAATTCATTTTAGTACAGTTATCTCTTGTTTACATTTTGGTATTTTGAAGGTGTGACTCTGAACTTCCATGGCCTTGAAGACCTTTCCATGTCACATTTCCTGAATATCCATGATACTTTTATTTTATTAATAAAAATTGATGGTCATTATGTTATATTGCATAAAAGTTGAAGAAAACCTTATTTTTTTAAATCGCTGCCAGAAAGACCATTCAGGAAAAGCCATGTTACTTATGATACTCAAACTTACTGAAAAGTTTCATAAGACTGAAGTGCAGTTTGTGTTGGAAAATAGTGTGATTGTTTTCTGTTTTGGAAGCAATGCAGCTCTATAGAATGCTATATGGGGCTACTGTTTATGGTCTTAATTGTCCCTTGGGGTAGTCACAGGCTAAATGCAGAGCTATAAAATCACTTGCCTAATTAATT